CTGGGTACGAGAATGACACCTCTTTTTTCCTTGTGAAGTGTAGAAGTGCTGAGACATTCATTTTTTCCCTCCTCCTCAAAATATTTTGCTGAAGATCTCTTAATTTATGATGTTTTCTGAAAGCTTTCTCAAAGAAAATTAAAATAGTAATGCTTCTTGTATGATGTTTTGTAATGGGAAGAGTGAAATAAGAATAAATCAATGTTTATACACAGAGCAGTGTTGATAAGGTCTTGGGCCTCACCAGTTCTTCAGTTGAGTGCTGCTGTTATGAGTACACCTTCTTAGATAGTCCCAAACTGCCATCCATTATCTTTGATTTTAAAAAATACTGTTTGCAGTTGTAGTCTATAGTAGTTCACTGTAGTGTTCCTGCCTGTAGACAGAGAGCTTTTTTTACTCTAAAATTAATTGCTTGGTCCCAGCTGAGCCCTGTCTAAGGAAGAGCTTTGATGTAAAGAACTGAAATCGGTTAAAATCAAGCTTCTCCTGCGGATAGCTAGAGAACTGTATTTTTTTCTAAAAAGCAAAACAGTATCAGATACATATTTTAAAAATTTAGCCTTGAGACACTGCTCTTGGAGTCTCAGTTTAGGTTTCATGAAATTCTTCGTTTTGAGATCTGATGGTAACGTGCTCCTTCCTGGAGGATGGCGTGCTATGATTAAAAAAAATAATGGAACTGTTAATGGAACGTTGTAAAATGACGTTATTTTATTGGCTGGTGCTAATAAAGCATTTTCACAGTATTTTCTTCAGAATGCACAGAGTAGAGGGGGAACTGAGAGGAAAAACTTGATCTTAATAGTTTGATGGAAGAGAGGTATGAATAAGTTTGGGATTGTGACAGTGTAAAGAATTGTGGCTTTCTGATATTTCTCAGTGTCCTTTTTTGAAATGTATGATTGGATCACTTCTTGCGTAATTGTGTGGGTATGTAACGTGGTGTGCTACAGAAAGAAGCCATGAAGAACCACAGTTAATAACTGTACTGCATTTTTTGCTGTTTCCAATAATAAGATTTGCATGTGTATGTAGTGTGTGAAGCTAAATCATCTGCACTACTGCAATCCATGTGCAAAAATATCCAATTATAGCAGAATTGTGGCCTTATCTGTTGTTAATTGTTCCAGCATTAGCAGTAAGGGGCTTTCCTGCTGTCATTGCATTCTTCTAAGACCCAAAAGTAGATATTAAAAAAAAAAGAACCATCTGTGGTTGCATAGTTGGTGCAACTCTGTCCTTTGTCTGCCTGGAGGGTTTAGCAGAGTGTGCTGAAGTAATGGTTGGATACAGCTGCATCGACTGAGGTACAGCTGCAGCATGTTTATTGCTCGTTTGTCGTCACCCGTCTCTGGTTTTAGTGCAAGTTTAAGATACTCCTAGTACTACGTGGACAGAAGGTGCCAGCCCATAACTTTGGTAATTTTTCTAGTCCTGTTAGCTAGTTTCCTTGCAGAAATTTTAATTTAAATGAAAATTGTAGTCTTGCTTTGTATTTGAATTTTCTATGTAGCACAATATGGATATATTTGGCTGTCTAATTATATAAATTAAATCTGTTATTAAGAAGGAAGAAAAGCCTAGTATATTCTTCCTGTAAGCGCAGGATGATGTAATTTAAGATTTTTTTTTTTAATCGATTTACATTAAAAAGAGGATTCTCGGAGTGTAAAGGGCTGTAGTCAGGCAATTGTGGAGTATTACATTAATTCAGAAACTGCTATATTAAATTAGTCATTTGTGGTCTAGAGCTGTGTCTTACTTTGTAATAGGGAATATTCTTTAGTTACCTTCATACTTTCAAATGGCTGTGACAATAATTTAAGAGCAGTAGAGCATTGCATTAAGGTTCTGAGGTTGCTCCATAATTATTACAGTGGTGACAGAATTTTAATTTTAGAGCTAAAACTTAAGACTACATTGAAATTGGATTGTGTGGTTGGAATTGGTTAAATCCTTGACTACTTTCCTCATTGATAATGTTTGACTTACTGTTTTTATAGTACTTGCTGATCTGTGGAACTTACTCTGTTACGGCACTGTCAAGAAATTACATTGGGGAATTCTTCTAGCTCTGCAAAAAGACTGTTATGTTGTTGTCATCCCCAAGATTTAGTATTGTAGATTTTACAGACAATTTGAGAGAAGAAGCTTTGAGCAGATAATATGGTGAGAAGTTGTTGAGATGATGCTAGTGGCACTAGGTGATAGAAGTTCTTTGCTGCTTTTGTATTAACGTTGTGTTTAGTGCAAAGTTTGGTTTACTTCTGAGTTAGCGTGATAGTGTGAGTTGTGTTAGGTCCTGGCTCTTTCTGGGTCCCTTGATTCTGGCTCAGAGGCATCGGAGATTTCAGGCACTGAAGCCATGTATTGCTCCAGCTTGGTTTATGTTCTCGTTCTCCTTGCTGACCTATGCTAGCTCTCAACTCTCCTGGTGTGTTTCGTTGCAGTAGGGTTGCCAGTCAATACGTTGCACCACAAACTACTTACAGTTTCTATTGTATTTTGGATTTAGATGAGCAGACTTAGACCTTGCGGTAGGATGGGGGTCAACTTTTAATGAGATCCAGAGGAGCAAAATCAAAGTTGATACTACAACAGAACAAGTGCCCCATTTTTGAGACTTGCTCTTAAAAGCATTTGTACTTCCCCATGGATCTCTGCACCACCCGCTCCCAGGTAGTTCTGATTTGAGCTCTTACTCCGCGTTCACTCCCCACAACTCCTAGAACTCTTTGTTTTCTATGCGATAGTGTCACTTAATGTTCCTGGACATTAGGGGGCCAGAAGGTATAAGATTTTATTCTTGTGCAACAGAGATGTTTTTAAGCTAAGGTTGTTCCCCTGTGGAAGCCCTGCCCTCCGTATGCTCCTGTAGCTGCTTCTACGGGGTCATTTCGTCCACGCTGAGAACTTGGCGTAAAACAGTCTTTTGGGCTGCAGAAAACTGCAAGAGAATTCAGAATCCCCACACTTGTAACGCTTTCTAGCAGTGCAAATAACATGGAGGAATGCTAATCTATCCTTCTCTCTTGTGTTGTCTGGAAATGTTCTGTCAAAAAAAATGTTACATTCTTTCTCGGAAGGCACGTGTGTGTAGCTGTACCTTACAGAAGAGCTTCTGCATCCTCAAGAGTGATGCGATACCAGAAACTGAGATCTTGGTAAAACTGAGTTTAATGAGCAGCTCAACATTTACTCTCCGTGTGTGAAGATTCCTGGATGTAATTGGAATTCCATTTTAATGAGTACGAGAGTCTCAGAAGTAGAACTGGCAGGGCTCGAGGAACTGGTGTAATTTTAAAAGACTGAGGAAAATAGGCAAGTCTGGCAAAAGAGAAATTGGGAAGCAGAAGCCCCTAAGGATTAGGGGGAATTAGAAAAGCCAAAGCAACAAAGCGATGCCAAAAACAAGAAAAGAAAGAGAATCAAGCTAAAGGTGTAGCAGTGAAGGAGAGCAATAGGGAGCTAAGGCAGAGCTGGCAGGTCTGTTCTGTCAGAAGCTCTAAGGGATCTGTTTTCTATTAGAGGGATATTGCAGATAGCCGCCTAGCACCGGCTTTTTCTTGGGAGCAGAAACAAGGCCGCACAGAAAGGCCAATGCTGGAAGATAAGATTTCTAGAATAACCTGACAGTTTTGAAATAAAATGTCAACCAACATCGATAGCACAGCCCTAACGCTGGAGCAGTGACTAGAGGTGTCAGCACAGCCGTGTGTTGAGCAGTCGTTCCTGCAGTATCAGGGCAATGGAGATGTTGAAATAAACTGGCCTTTCCCTGCTCAGCTGTTGCCTGTTATCATGGGTAGCTCTGCACTGTGCATGCAAATCTAACTGAGTGCTGATTAAATCTTCTACCAGGCCTTTTGGCAGAGTTTTTTAAAATTGTACAGAGGGGTTCATACACAGCCGCTGGAAGAGACAAGTGCTGAAGCTGACTTTGTTCTTGTAAATGTAGTGCACTATGGCAGCTTTTTCAACGCTTACCTGTAACTAAGCATAATGTTCAATTAATTTACAAACAAATCTTATAGATGCAAAATAGTGAAAGAATATGAAAAGGTGTTACTCTCAGTGCGATTCTGTACCTTCGTCGATGCAGCTCCACACATCCATAGTTACAGAGAAGATACCGCCAGGGCCAGAGCAAAGGTGATCTCTTCGTGCGTGGCTGCTAATACCTGCTGTTAGGATGAGGCATGCAGTGTCGGGCTGTTCTGTGGTTTAGTAACAGCACCTCTGTGCTGTTGATGGCCAGCTTGTATTTCTTGCTTCTGCACACAGCTACAGTTCAAGGCAAAGTTAACTTGTGTCTTGACAAAGTGTCTGCTTCTAGATAATCTGTTACCTGTAACTACATTCAGTGGCTCGTTAACGTGTGTGATACTGGTTTTGCTGCTGGTATTGCGGGTGAGATCTTTGCTGTCAGTCACTGAGCTGTTACGCTACAGCAATAGTTTCATAAAGCTGCAAAAATATTTTAATATTCTTTTCACTTTGCAGTAGGGAAATTGAAGGTTTAGGTATTTCCTGTGCTTATGCTCCTAGAAATAAAGTAATGTTGAAGTCAGTGCCTCTGTGTGCTGAAGGTAACTAGAAAGCACTTTCCAGTTAAATTCCACAGATTTTGAACAGAACTATTCTAGGCCAGGCAGGAACCAAAGATTTACATTAAAAAACTTTTTAAATCCTGACCAAGAACTACTGACATGTTTGGTTTCACTTGCATGTGTAATTCCTTTGACTTCTGTAGGTCTACTTATGGGTGGAAACATTTTCATGATTTGAGGTCAGAAATATATAAAAACAAAAGAATAAAGCAAAGCAAGTTATATGAAGTACTGCATGCTTTTTTATTGAAGTTTTGGTTAAATTCTTTTCTGTGTTTGTCAGTCTGATGCACTAATCTGGTAAAGCTAATCAACACAATAACGCTGTTCAATATAAATTCTGATTTTTCTTCTATTGCAGTTATTTGTGAATGAACTTAGCTGAATATGGATCCAGGTGGCGGAAGTCTTGGACTGCAAACACAAGAATCCAAAATGCCTCACACCATGATCATGCAGGATTTTGGTAAAGTTTTTCACTATTAAACATTAATAAAAACAAGACTATTTTTCATCTTTTTGCTATATATTTGTAAATGCTATTTGCATTACTTCTTTGAGAAAATTCAAAATTTCAGGTTGTATAATATGTCTGTGTATACTTTGGTATATATGTAGACAACAATTTACAGTTTTAGCTAAATCTGCGTGTTCACATGTGCTTAGAAGTCTTCTCTCAAGAACATCAGTCCTGGTACTGTTCTGATGTAAGAAAACGTCTTTCTAAATTGAAAGCAGACTGCTTTGGATAGTCTCTATCCGGTGAAATGCAGAATGTGGATTTTTGAAAAGTAACAGATTTCTACATCTGTGCTTAGCTTATCTATAGAATTATTCCATTCTTTACATAAGCTAATTGCTAATGCAATAATTGTAACATTTCTCTTCTCATTCATAATTGTTTCCCAGTGGCTGGAATGGCTGGCACTGCTCATATTGATGGAGACCATATCGTTGTATCAGTTCCCGAAGCTGTCCTAGTTTCTGATGTTGTTACCGATGATGGAATAACTCTTGATCATGGCTTGGCAGCTGAAGTTGTCCAAGGACCTGACATCATCACTGAAACGGATGTTGTGACGGAAGGTGTCATTGTCCCTGATTCTGTTTTGGAAGCTGACGTTGCTATTGAAGAAGCTTTAGATACCAGCGATCATGTTTTGACTTCTGATCTAATAACAGAAACGGTTAGAGTTCCCGATCAGGTTTTTGTGGCTGACCTTGTTGCAGGTCCTGATGGACATTTGGAGCACGTGGTGCAAGACTCTGTGTCAGGAGCCAACTCGCCTACCATGGTTTCGGAAGAAGTTCTTGTAACGAACTCAGACTCTGAAGCAGTCATTCAAGCAGCTGGTACTGTTCCTAGCTCCACAGTGACTATAAAAACAGAAGACGATGATGATGGCAAGAGTACATCTGAAGACTACTTAATGATATCTTGTAAGTTAAACAAAGGTAGATATAAACAGGAGCTTATCTGGAGTAGAAGTGGTCTGGTGGGGAGAAGTTACTGTAACCAGACTCTCGCTGCATTCTTTACTGGAACTCTCAAATAATAGTCTGTGGCCCAGTTCATTCTTGGTGTCTGGATTTGGGGTTTTTTGATGAAAAATCCATTATCGCTGGTACATCAAAAAAGAGAATGACATTCATGCTGTTGAGTGAATGAGTGTGTGTGTTTCTGAAACATACAGATATTCCTGAATATTAAGAAAACACACTGGAAAGTTAAACATTCCACATATTTGGAGTATAGCACTTTTTTCTAAGATACACAGGTATATTACCATGTTATGAAGATTCATGCAAAAATAACGTGTTGGGTTCAATCAAGGAATCCAACAAAGAAAAGGTTTTTAAGATACCTGACTCATAAAGTGTGTCCACAAAATATTGCTTGTTTAGCTGTATTAAAAATTACAGTGGGCATGTCATTGTATGTTGTGCTGTTCTGGACTGAACTTGACACGAAGGGGTTGTGTGCACTAATTGATTGGCTCTCTGACCCTGGAAAGTGGCTGCCCGTTTCAGTTTCCACACAGCATTCGACCCTAGGAAGCTGTATGGTGCTACGCTACTTGCTGAGTTAGAGCTGCTGAAAGGACCGTAGGTGTATATTGTGTTTCTTCAGGGGTTAAATTATACTCAATATACGAGTTTTTACTGTTATGTAAATTCGATAAAATGCATGATAGTTCATTTTAGATTTTTGACTTCTCCAAATCAGTTATTAAAATGTGAGTAGGTCAAAACAGATTTTCTTTAGTCAGAAGCAATATGTTTAAAAAAATGGCAACGCCAAGTGTGTCGAAGTGTCAGTCTGTTCACAGCAAGCTGCATTTATTAAAAATTTCAAAGCAGAGGACATGACTGGTTACTGATTATAATGATTTCAGTATGGCATAGATGTCCTTTATGCAAAATATATTTTTGGTATTTATTTTTTGTTCTGTATAGGATGGACAGCAATGATTATCATTACTGTAATGCTGTATGTCAGTAACAGAAGTCAAAAAGGGTTTTTTGGAAAAAGAACCCCAAAAAACTCAGTCTAAAAGCAAATTAGACCTACAACAGAAAATATCCTGTGTGTTTGTAAATAAAGGAACACCATTTTTACAGTGAGCTGTTTCATTGAAAAAATTCCTCCTTTCTGACAGAGTACTTACGATGAGTTGTATTCTGTAACTGCGGTATTTCCAACTGCACCTTTGTAATTGTAAGTAAAGCCATCTTTGGAATTCCTTCTAAGATAGTTAAGTGTGATTGATAGTGGTGATCCCTGCGCTTAAACCAGAGTGTCTTAACATTTCAGTAAGTTACCTAGTGACCCCAGCTGTGTCTGGTACATACCCAGTCTTGTCAGATGTTCCAGGCCTCCTGGTGCCTTTTGCAATGTTTCAAAGCCAGTTTGAGACCCAGTTTTAAGCACATTAGATTTATATATGTGTATAACTATGATATGCCAGGTGGAAGCTACATCATTAATCTAGAATTTTGTTTAAAGTAATAATTTTAGATAAATTAAGGCAGTCTCTTGCCTCTGCTAAGTTTTGAGGCTGTATTGTGCTGGCTGTGCCAGCCTGACCCAACCAAATATCTGCTATTGATTTTTTTTTTTCTCAGCAAAAACGTATCAGTCTTGCACAGTTGTTCATTTTTTGTTTTGGGGTGGTTTTTTAAATGTTTTAAAATTAGCCTTGAATTTGTTTTGTTTATTAAGATGATCTGTTGTGTAGAATAGATAAATGTCTCAGTTTATCAAGTACTTTAAAAACCTTTCTATTTACATATATTTTTTAAATTGCCGAATTAAATGTTCAGTAAATGTTGTAGAAAATTATTTTTATGCTGTTTCTTTTGAGTGTTTATATAACACTGTTGGACTTCTTTGTAATGTAAATCACATCAAAATGATAGTTTTAAAGAATCTCAAAATACTTTCTAGCTGCCTTTTAATGAAATTTAGCATCTGTAAAGGGACTTCACATAAAACTACAGGTACGCCCTCAGGCAATACCACTAGCTGTTCTGTGGAACACGTTTTGGGATCCTACTAAGATACTACAGTTTAGGGTGTAAGCTGAGCGGAGTGGCATTTTAACTTACTCTTTTGTTGGGAGTTACAGTATAAATAATACTGAAAGGTGGGGTTTTTTACCATTTTAAGACAAAATTCCCATGTAGATATTCTATAAACTATTGGTAATTATATTTTTGTGTAAATACTATTTGCAAAATAAGAAGTTTTTCCTGATAGTTCTGTAAACTAGTTGCATATGATTCTGTAATTGGAAATTTTCACTAGAAGATTATCACCACTCAGCTCTCTCAGTGGAGATTAATTCAGCTTTTAAAAATCAGCCTTGTAAGCATAAGACTTGAAAATCTGGTTTTGATACATTCACAACATATGCTACAGGATATGCATGGTCCCGTGTTTTAAATCTATAGCATACACATTTAAAATTGACTTGTTAAAAAGGAAATGAATACAAAATGAATGCTTATGTTGTGATCATGAACCCAGTCCATCTCATACCGAGATGGGAAGACATGGGAAGCAGTACATCCCATTTTGCCAGGGAGGAGTTAGCACACGTGTAGCTTAAAGCCTACCCTTTTTTGTTTTTCAGGTTTGCGATATTCAGACCCACAGCGGATTGCCAGCTCCCGATCCGTGTGTTGACCCCACATGCACTATGTTGGTGACCTCATACCCACCAAAGAACAACTCTGGAGCTGGCCTTTAGGGGTAAGGTACTGTTCCACCACCACCTCCTTTTTAGTGTCTTACAGTACAGTGTTACATAAGTTGCTAAACATTTTACTATTAATACTCCTATCTTGTAACCTATGGGATATAAAATAAGTATATCGGACATTAGAAAAATATGGAAAATTGTAAAACCATGGGACTTATCTTGCCCTCGTGTTATCCCTGTGGGCTCCTATGGTGGGTGTGATATCACCAGCATAGTGCATGCTGAGGCATCACATGAATTGGGAGCTGGCAATCCACGGTGAATCTGGACATCACACACCTGAAAACAGCAAAGTCAGGTAAGTTTCAAATTGGAAGTGTGCTGAGTTTTCCTTTAAACCTTGTTTATTCAGGAGGATTCAGCATATATTTATAAAGGTTCTCTGTTGCGTTTTTTCAGTTAATTTTGAGTGACGAGATAATAATATGTAGTGCTTCTGGTGGATGGGTCAGATCTGGAAGGCACTTTGTATTAAATTGGCATAAAGTAAGCATTTCTGTTCCTGAAAGCTGTCACTGGGAAAAGGCATCAGATAATTTGGCATTGATGGGTTAGCGGTCTGTGACTGAAGTCATATTACTTAGACAATAGAATATTTTCATGATGTGTTTTTTAAAAGAAGTCCTAATATTTTGAAACTTGACAAAGATGACTTGTCCTGCTGTGTTGATTGTTTTCCTCTTACCTAAATGTGTTTTAAAAACAGATTGAAACCGTGAAATTTACTTAGTATAAGACAGCAATTCAAGCAATAGCAATTGCTGATTTTGGTGTCTTTTGTTGTTCAGGTATTTGAAACAACAGGCAACATCTTACAGATGACAGTCTGTAACAGTATAATTTTCTCAGTCCTGTTTATATTTTTCAAATTTTGTTGCATTACACTTTTGCTTTTTTAGAGGAGTCATGCCAGAGGCCCTGGATACACAGGCTTCATGATATGTTCCCTTTTAGCTTAAATTGTAGAGACTGAAGGTCTTTGAAAATATGCAGGATGGTTGACGGTGTGGGAGTAACCACTAATTTTAAAAATAATGCTGTAAGTTTGCCCCTCTAAGATAGGACTCCCTATCTTTTAAAGGATGTTGGAGATTTAGGGGCTTTGCTGGAAGTGGTAAAACACAGCATGTCAGCATACATGCTATATGTGTGTATTTTGCTTTATATTTTTGGCTGACAGTATTTGTTCTTATAAAAATTGTGAAATTGAAAAATTCTTCCTTTCTTTATGTAATCTGGGTTCTGTTGCAATCGATGTCCTGGTAAGGCAACTGTCTAAATTGTGTGGTTTTTCTCATGTTGTTTCGCCAGATACATAGTGGTGTACAGTCATTGTCACCCACTATTAGTTAAATAGTTGGAATTTTTGCTGTAAAGAAAACTTCTTATCACATATGTGTGATTACTGCACTGTTCAGTAAGAAGCTGCTGTTGGTAAATAACCTGCCAGTGTGGGGATACTTATTTTCCACGCTAAACTGATAATGCTTTATGTTTATAGAATTTAATTGCTTAGAAAAAGTTGATGTTGCTTGAGTTGCAGATTTGAAAATAACTTTACTACCACCTACCAATTCTAAAATTACATTAACAGCTTGCAGTTAGTGATTTCTTCCACCCAGCCTTTTAAATATTCTTTCTGCGTTTTGTCAGCGTATCTAGTCATGCGGCTATATATTTAGTCACTCCTGCCTTGTATTATTCGTTACCTCCAGTCCTTCAAAGACTCACATGTGCAGTGGAGATGTTAATTGTACTCAAATTAAGCGAATGTGTATCATTTTGAAGAGCACGGATAAGAAACTTTAAAAGCCATGCAGAAAATAAAATGGTCCTTAATAAATTCAAACAGTAGACATATGGAAATACTTTTTCCAAGATAAGTATCTTTCAGGATGTTCCCTTTTCCTATTAGTAGAGGATGCAAAATCCTCTCTTCTCAGAACTCCATTCTGGCAGCATAAAACGTTCCGGTGAGCAGATGCCGTAACTCTCCCATTCTGCATCTAAAGATGTGCTAATAACCAGATGCTGGTAAACTTCAGTGTCAAAGGAATGTGCCCAGTTCTCTGTTGTGGCTCGTGGTGTTTCTGCTCCTACTGTTGTCATTGTCCTGCAAGGTGACATGAACGCCATGCAGCACATGTCAGATCCTAACCGATTAAGGTGTTGATGTTGCTGGCATCAATTTTTTTATTAATTGAAAACCAAAAAATTCTTTTCCTGAGGAAGTTTTTTTTTCTGCTGATCCAAGTTTGATTTTTTTTTTGGGCAATGCAATTAATCACCTATTTATAAAAAGAAATACCTAAAACATGGCATTTTAAAATGTTTTCTGTTTAATTTTCTTCAAGATATATAATTTTCAGAGGTTATAAAATGAAATGAAATACCTGTATGTACTTATATTGTATCTAGTTCTGTCCTCAATAACTGTATACTCTTCTGATGCAGTCCAAGCTTTGTGAAATGGGAATAAGGTTCTCAGTGTAGGGATGAAAAGTGGTGTTAGTTGGACGGGTGTGTCTGTGGAATCCTGTCCGTGAGTGGGCAGAGCTCGGTGTGGGGTTGCTGGGGTGGATTCCCACCCTGCTGCAGGAGAGGCGTCTGCTCCTGTTTTTATTACATTCAGATTTTGTTTACGTTTGTGGAACTGTTCTTTAGTCAGGGGACTTCAGTGGGTGTTAAACATTGCCCAGGTTTGTGTTGGCTGTCCACACAGGAGCTGATTTTGTCTGCTGAGAGAAGTGTGGTGGCAGTACAAAATTCAGAAAGATGTGCAGTCCGGTGGCCTTGGTATTGGCAATTTGTGTTATATATTTGGATATCTGTGTGAATACCCTTTTTACCAAAATAGTGTTGCTTCTACACTTTTAATGGTTTGCATGTAGATAAAATGAGCATTTTGAATATACAGAGCAAATAATCAGGGTGACTAAGTTGCATACATAAAGAATGAGAAGTCAATTTCGTGTAGTAGTATTTGGATTTATTTTCACTGTGTCTTTTAATCAGGCATATATTATACAATAATCTTCGTTAATTTATATTTTTTCAAGTGCTAAAGTGGATAAAATAATAATTTCTTTTAGGGTGAAGATGCAGTCAGATGTTTCATGCACTTCTTTCACTGGGAATGTACTCCCAAGTCATCACTCTTGCATAAGAGTTTCAGCTACTAAATTTTAGTCACCAGTATCAGAGTAGTGAAACTTTTTGGGACTCGTAGACTGTAACAGACAATGCTGGGTTAATTTTTACGATTTTTGGATAGATGTTTAATGTTATTTATTGATATATTTCTGCTTTCTATGTGTAATAGTTTCAGACATAACCACATTCTCTGATGAAAAGCTCCCTCTTGTGTTCTTCATCCTGTAATTCTTGAGTGTTTCCTGAGTTGCAATAAAATGAGCACTGGACTTCTGGAATTTCTTTTAAGTATCTCGAGATGAAATGTTTTGTAAAGGCCATTTATGAATACAAACCTTTACTATGCATGGGGATAATAGTGGAGAAAATCATGCTACTGATTACTTTGACTTTTAAAAAATGAGTTTGAACCTCATTATTATTTTCTTATCTTTACAGTGGATGATGTTGGAGAAAAATTGGACCATATAGGAAGCACTCCCTTGAAAATCAGTACTGAGGTGACAAATGATGATGTTGCTAAAGATGATGGTTTTGGTTCAGAAGTTATCAAAGTGTACATATTTAAAGCTGAAGCTGAAGATGATGTTGAAATAGGTACCTTTTTAAATTCTCTGTATTCTTCCAGTAGTATGAAGTATTTCAGGGTCTTTTTGCTTGTTCTTAATTTTATGTAATCCACTGTTGTGCAGAATGTGACATTAGTGGAGGCTGCCTATATGCGGTAAATACTGGGTGTGTGTTAGTCTCAAGTTCTTTTTTGATTAGTGCTTGCTTTCAGGCAACCAAAGCCCAAATGTAGAAGAAGTGGTCTGCAGCTGTTTTTCAGCTGCTCCTTTTATCTGACCTTGCAAGACTGTGTATCAGCACAGCAAAGCCTCTAGTGTAGATTCCTCTCATTGAACAATCTTTGGTGGCCTTGATGCAGGGAGAGGGGAAGATTGGTGGGGCTTTAGGCATGCAGTCATTTCCAAAACTAACTGAGAAACTTGGAAGTGCTCTGCAGTTATCTTTTGCAAAGGATATATACAGCACTTCTGCATGCTTTGCAAGTGGACCTACTTCCTGAGACCATGGGGAAAGGATCTAGAGAAGCAGCAACTTAACATCCCTTATCTCTCGTGACATCTGTTTCATCTGCCAGCTCCCACATGAATTGCCAGGCCCTGTTCTTGAAATATGGTTTCTTCCTCTGGGGATGGGTTGTCAGTCCTGAGGGACAGACTGCTAGTGCAGCAGCAGGAAGAATTGGAGTCTCTGATGGCTGACAATTACTTTACAGCGGGGACGTTCTCATGAGCTGCTGTCAGTGCTTCTGATACAGCCAGGAGGTAGTCCTGGGAAATTACCCCGTTCATTGCTGCTGAGTGCTTCCCCTTAGCCAGAGCTGATTGTATTCATAACGTGTGTTTGCTGCTCGGCATTAAGCAATACAGAAATGGAGAAGACAGCCTTCACAAAGGACATCCAAGATTCAAGTTTACCCTTTAGCAGTAGTCTCTTGATCTTTGTGTACATGGGTAGTGGTCGTTTAGTCTTGAGTTTATCAGGAGACACTGGAAAACTTGTTCCTTGTCCGCTCCAGAGTTTCAAACTTGTGTGATTTAATGACAGACATGGAAATAAGAAAAAAATACTTAAATCAGTCATAACAGTGACTTTTTTTACGTTTACTTAATGTGTTTAACTTCTTTTTGTTAAAGGTGGGACAGAAATTGTCACAGAGAGTGACTTTCACAATGGACATTCTGTAGCTGGAGTAATTGAACAAGGAGGTGTTGGTAGAATGCAGCGAGAAAAAATGGTTTACATGGCTGTGAAGGACTCTTCTCAGGAAGATGAAGATATTAGTAAGCACTATAAGAAACATTTTTGTTTCTCATGCTGTTTTGTACAACAATATAAGCGTCTTTCTCAAGGACTTTTTAAAGTTTTTCTGAAGGATTCATCAGCCTGAAGTAGTAGAAAACTAAGCTTATCTTCCCTAAAAATAAGCTTATCTTCCCTAAAAATAAAGAGCAGGTTATAATTACTTTAAACTGATGTGGATAAATGCACTTTGTGCACACTGTATGTAATAATTTCATTATTTATATTAAATTTAACATGTCCATGGATAAAGTGAATGAGGTTAGTCAAATTTCTAGTTTTTCTGTTTTCCTACTGTGAATTGCCTCTTTTAATCAGCTTGCTAGCAAAGTGGCAACTAAATGTCGTCAGTTTCAAGTTTGTATATTTGAATTTATGTTGGTGTTTATTTTGGATTTATATTTATTGACATGTGTTTTCTCTCTTTAAGGAATGTCTGAATAAACAATGATCCCCTAAGGGAAGGGGTGGTTCTAAATGCCAAAGGAAGAAAAATAATTTATAATGGGTACCAATCAGAGCGAGCCAATTAAATGAAGGAAAATTTAGGATGAGCAGAATAAAATTAAAGATATATTCTTCTCCTTTAATCCAGGCTGTGCTGAAATAGCAGATGAAGTTTACATGGAAGTTATTGTAGGTGAAGAAGAAGCTACATCCCTTCCAGACACGCAGCTTGAAGATTCTGGCGTGAATAAAACTTTTGTCCCCGTTGCTTGGGCTGCTGCTTACGGTAGGAATCTGTATGCTTATTTTCTGAAAATCTCTTCCATTATTTTCTTCCTAATCTACCTTCCAGAATCTCTTTGCAAATGTAATAATCTGTCACCTTGTCCTAGGGGTTTGGAAACAGCTCCTTCTGACCTTTTAGCAATGTCAGTTAGTGGAGTTGATTAAATGATGTGAAAAATTATTTTGACATCATTCGTGACCTTTTACACATAAGGTCCTTAGTTTGTTTGCAGTTTAATATGAAGAAAACAATTCAATTTTTACATTGGTGGGTTTTTTCCAGTGCTGGCCTGTCAGACAGTTAGAGGTTACTTTAGTAGTTGATTGTCTTGCATATAATGAATGGATTGTTGTATGTTGAGTTTTATGAAGTAGAAAGGAAAGCTGTTAGGAGAATTTAATTACTATTCTTGATTCCAGCTCAGATGTACAGAATGTGGGTTTTTTTGATGTTTGTTTAAGTTGGATGTTGAACATCTTACAAAAAATATTTTACATTGGCTAGAAGGAAGGGAAAAAACTTTAAAAAGGGAATAGTAGGAATAAATACTTAAACATATTGCGTATTTCAGTTTATATACCTGTTTTAAGCCTGTTAGTCCTTCAGGTTAGAAGCAAAAAGAAAAACAGGTAATTTGTTCTCTGCGGCTGTGCTTCAGATAGTAGAAGTGTCTTATCAGGATATATTGTGAATTCTGAATATTCTTTTCTTTCATATTCTTTTCTTGGATTTTGGCATGTTAAATGTATATTAAGAGGGTATCAAGTCCATCCATGGTTTATGTCATAATTAAGTAAGCAAGTTAGGTAAAATTCATTGGTGCAATGTTTGTGAGCACAGTAGTTGGACTGATAAAGTGGTTTAGAACTACAGAGCCATGGCACACAGCAGTAGACACTTTCAATCCAAAATGAAGAGTTTACTCTGAAGGTATTCCCTCTACATCTCCCAGAGCTCTGTAGTGCCTCGTACAGATGAGCGCTGAGTGGTTGATAAGGTACAAGGGTCCTTATCTGGATAGTTCTGCTCCAGAAAGATGAAGTACTTCGATCTCAAGACTAAATTGTGGATTTCAGATAACCTCATTTCTGGATAGGTATCTGAGGTTATGTATGAGGTTAAAAGTTTGCAGCACCAAATGTATTAATTATGAAAAGCAGGAAAGGCAGTCAGCATGGTAAGGTGCAAACACAGCTTTAGTGGATATTAACTGTTCACAAAGATGTGGTTTTTATTTCCTGTGGCTCATCGTTACAAAATACTGAACTGATTGTGAGCTAAGCTGTTACTTACTAGCAAAGTTAGTTTTCTCTCATTATCAGGCTTTCAAAGCCATTGCCTTTAGAAAGAATTCCAATTTATAATGACTAAAATACGATTTTCTGCAGGAGATGAAAGAAGGCTACCCAGAAGATACGAAGATGGTCAAGCGGCAGGTAAGAACACGTACCTCTGCTTGGTACAGCATTAAAACTAACTTGCTGTCTTTGAGAGTATATGTTTATGTGTCAGTTCTCCTCATCGTTGAATGCAAAAAATCATCCATAAAGTATATATTGAAGGACTCCACAGTCTTTCTCTACTATTTTGAAATGAAAACCATTCTAGATGTGTTGTAAGCCTTCAGAGTGGGTGGGAAGCTGGGAGGATCTGCCAGGTTTTTAAATATAGTTTTGTAGGCAGATAATGCAGTTGTTAAGTAAAATGAAGTTAAATAAAAGGAAAAAAACAGCATAACTCAGAAGAAATTAATGCCTTGAGAAGTATGAGAAATCAAGGAATATATTTGAAAGTGAATCAGTGTTTAAACAATTATATTCTTGACTTTTGCCAGCAAAGATAGATGGACAGACAGATAGATAGTGCTTTGTATTGGCACTCTTCTTTTTTACATACATTCATGTAGAGCAAGCAGTATTTTTTTTAAGAAGTATATATGCTGCTGTGCAATTCCAGTCATCATTCCCAAAGAAAAAACATTGTTTAAGGTTTTTTATGGTGTCTAATTTTTGTTTCTAGGAAATAACTTGGATACACGATTAGAAAACAAAAACGGTAATGCAACACAATACCTGCAGATTTGTGATAGCGTTAGCACTAATAGAGTGCTAAAACAAAAAACCAAGAAAAGGAGGAGAGGAGAGGCCAGGCAATGGCAAACAGGTAAACACTGTATGGTTATGTGTATTGTCATGGAGTGGCACTTACTCCTGTACTATTCCGTTATTTTTTTTAAAGCTCATGCAGAATTAAAAAATATAAACGATGATTTGCATATTTCCTGTGTCCTTCCCCCCTCCAATTCTGTGCATAGAAAATGTAATAATTTTTGTTATTCAAAGTCAGTACAGGACAAATTCATTTGAATTTTGCAAGCAATTAAAAAGCAATCGTGGGTGTATTCACTGCACATATGACATTACTGATCTGTTTGAGCAGTTCTTAAACCAAAGCTATATAAACTGTAGGTGCTGTGGATTGGTTGTTTTTAAACTACTGAACCATTCTCTGTCTGCTGCAAGTGTAAGTGCATGAATCTGAACAGCAGTTGGCTGATTTAAATCTTCTTCATCAGTAAATTTGCTTCCTTCATAACTTGTTTTTGTTTGTTTAAAAACAGCTGTTATAATAGGTCCTGATGGACAGCCCTTAACAGTTTACCCTTGTCATATTTGTGGGAAAAAATTTAAGTCCAGAGGATTCTTGAAAAGGCATATGAAGAATCATCCAGATCATATGATCAAGAAGAAATACCAGTGTACAGACTGTGACTTTACAACTAACAAAAAAGTAAGTTTCCACAATCACCTGGAAAGCCATAAACTTATCAACAAAGTTGACAAAACCCATGAGTTTACAGAATATACGAGAAGATACAGAGAAGCAAGCCCATTGAGTTCTAATAAACTAATACTGAGGGACAAGGAGCCCAAGCTACACAAGTGCAAATATTGTGACTATGAAACTGCAGAGCAGGGACTCCTCAACAGACATCTACTGGCAGTTCACAGTAAGAACTTCCCTCACGTCTGTGTGGAGTGTGGGAAAGGATTCCGTCACCCATCAGAGCTGAAAAAGCACATGAGGACCCACACTGGGGAAAAGCCATACCAGTGTCAGCACTGTGTCTTCAGGTGTGCTGATCAGTCCAACCTGAAAACTCACATCAAAACCAAACACGGGACTGATCTGCCCTTTAAATGTGAGCACTGTCCCCAGGCGTTTGCAGATGAAAAAGAACTGCAGCAGCACACAGAATTATTTCAAGGGCATAAGACTCACCAGTGTCCACACTGTGACCATAAGAGCACCAATTCCAGTGACCTAAAGCGACACATTATTTCGGTTCACACAAAGGATTTTCCCCACAAATGCGAGGTATGTGAAAAAGGCTTCCATCGTCCATCCGAGCTCAAAAAGCATAGCGAAACCCATAAAGGTAAAAAGGTACATCAGTGTAGACACTGTGACTTTAAAACATCAGATCCTTTTGTACTGAGTGGGCATATCCTCTCAGTTCACACCAAGGACCTGCCTTTTAAATGCAAAAGATGTAAAAGAGGATTTAGGCAGCAAAATGAACTTAAGAAGCACATGAAGACCCACAGTGGAAGAAAAGTTTATCAATGCCAGTATTGTGAATATAGCACTACGGATGCATCGGGCTTTAAACGGCACGTGATATCCATACACACAAAAGACTACCCACATAGGTGCGAGTATTGCAAAAAGGGATTCCGTAGACCATCCGAAAAAAATCAGCATATAATGAGGCACCACAAAGAGGCCATAATGTAATATATGATCTCCAGAAGGAAGCAATTTAGAAACTGTGATATGCTAATTGGGGAAAAAAAAAAAATCTCATGAACTGTTTCTCCTGGTTTCAAAGCTTGATATTAAATCATAACTTTACATTCTTTGTATTGAAAGTCTTAAAAGTATTAGGCTTGACAGGGGATCTCATAGCCCTATGATTGTTGCTTATCCGAACCTAAAGAGCACTATAGAATGCAGAAGGATGGATGAATGTCTTAAATTTGCAGAAAGATGGATGAATGTCTTCAGATTACTAGTACTACACTTTGTTAAGCTATAGAAGACAAACCGAAGATGATTGTGTTACCCATTTTGTCAATAACAGCACTTGTCTCCAATATAAAAACAGTTCAGATATGTGGTGGGGTTATTTACAAATTGTTTGCAAAGGCAAAGGAGTCTAACTTCTTGTGCAGTTTTGAAAGGAGAGTGTTAGTCCTTCACTTGATCATAACATTTTAAAATCGTGCCTGGAAATTAAATTCCAGAACTGGTCAAATTTGGGGGGGTTGTCTCTTTTTTTTTTTTTTCTAAACATGTCATTGGGAAACTTTTTTCTTCCCTTTATGAGTTTATGTCCAATGAGTAATTTTTTAAATGGTTTTCAAAGCTGCTAACCTGTTTTATTGCAGGATATGATGTTTAAAATAGCATTATGTTATGATCTCAAAGGTGGTGTTCTGGTGCTAGGGTTAAAGATGTGTATGTATATAATTTCCCTTTTTTATCTGAAACTGCAGTTGAATGTTGTTCAGTATGGCACTTCAAAATTAACTTTGAATTTGACTTTTTTTTTTAATGGATGCAGCTCATAGTGTTGTGAGTCAACACTAATGTTTTTTCTCGCTACTTTAAAATCTTCTCTAAAGAGAATATGAAAAACAAAGTTGAAAAATGTAGGGTTTTTCAATTAAAATTCAGAGTACTTAGAAGTTCTTTAGGGCAGTGTTCTTAACAGGTATGACTATTGTCCTACCTCCTGATACAAAAATTTCGGTATAGACATAAAATTGCACCTTTTAATAAATTCTTTAAAAAAATGTGTACCATACTATAAACATGCATTTCCAATCTGTAAGAAAGTATATATGCAGTATTTAACCAGAAAAATATGCTGCCACTAGAGTTTGGAGGTGGATCTTCAGTTTACAGTGTATACATTAAAAATATGCATCCCTTTAAACAATGCTTTGTGTTAGCATGCTGCAAATCAGATGGCGCTTAATATAACAAGCTGGTCTAGGGCTATTTAATGAAAAACCTGTTCATAAATGTTACGCATATAATGTGTATTTTTTACTTTTTTAGTTGCTTCATGTTTGCACACAGTTGTTCACATGATAAATTGTAACTTCATGCTATATTGTGGCTTTGTGTTTCAGATAATGTCCATATTTTGGTTTTGCACCAGATGAGAATCAGTTCCTTGAGAATAAATTTTTTTTATATTTCTAAACTTCAGAAAGTTAAACTTGGGAAAATCTCTTAGAAAAATACGTGTTTTATGTGGCTGTAAAAAATGATGTACACGCTGTAAAATAAGATTGTCACTGTTCTGTGGGATTATTATTTCTAAATGTGTTACTCATCATAACGGGCATACAATAAAACGCATCTCTTGCACTCCAAATTTTTTGGAGTTTGCTTTTCATTTGTGGTGTTTAGGACAGTCTCATTCTGTGTAAATTTGCCTAATATTTTTAATTACATTTCTCACTAATTAATATGTAATAACATTTCACGTAAACAGGTTACTTGTGTATTTATCAGACTGTTGAGGGGTGAGTATTGGGGTTTTATCTGACTAACTCTTTAAAGTCACAGGTAATACATTTGTGTTTATTTCTAAAATAATTACCAAATATGATGCGGACATTCCTTTGACATTTTTTCCTTTTAAGTAAAGAGAACATAAAACTTCCCACGTATTTTTGGAAAAAGCAAGGTAGGTTTTGTATTTTTGTATGTGTAATAAGAACAGCTTGCAAAATGAAATGCTGAAGATATTGCTGTCTGAATCTCCCTCTCTTTCTAGAATACTAGCATTATGACATCAGTAATAGATTAAAAGCCTTAAGAAGAGAGTGCAATATCAAATGAACTCTTCATCAAGGATTTCCAACAGGCTTGTAGCCAGTGAACTCGTTTTTGTGCTGAAAACCAGAAATGATGCAGACATAAAAAATCCTAGAGATTAACGTCGTGGGGTTATGGCAGCTGTAATGCTTTGTTCCTGACTGTTGTATTGAATGCCTAGACTGAAGGAGTTTCTTGGTAGCAGACTGAAGATGATCACTCTGACTCTGTGACAAAGCACACATCCGTGCTGGCCTCTTTTCCTACCTTACAGATGGACGGAACAATCAGGTACTTGAGTATTTTCCGTAGCCAACTTTGTAGAAAGACTTAATCCCACATTGCCTGAGAGCCCGTCACGGTTCGTGGGGTACAGACCAGAGGGGCCAGAAATGGCAGAAATGAACCTTCTGGAGAGCGGGTGTTTTAGACCACAGGATGAAACCTGGAAATAGTGTGTCCAAGGATTGCATCCGGATGATGTTTTGATACCTTTTGTTTTTCATAGTTGGTACTGACTGGTGAACAATATTAATGTTTGCATTTTTCAGTGTATGTTTGAGGATTACAGGAGTGTTTCTCGCAAGGAGTGCAGTGAGAGGCTTTGGCATTGACATATCTGATAGTTTAAGATTACAGACATGTGTTAATTCTTTCTGTGATGAGCAGTTGTTCAGTGTAAGGTTGTTGTTTAGTTCAGTGGTTTAGCTCAGAGCCAGAGTGGCATCTGCTGTTCTTAAGAGTGTGGTACACTGGGGGGCATCAGTTTCGTTACCTAGAATTTTCTGTTGCATCTGGTTTTTGCCCACAAAGGGCACAAAAGGGTTTTTTAAATGCAGTTAATGATAGCAGAAAGTATGTGGTGGATGCTGGATAAAAAATTAATTAATTTACAGCTTCATCATCATATTATAGAATTATTAAGTCGTGTAACTTTGCATTGCAGAAGTTGAAATTGCTGGTGAGGTTTAACAGTCCACCTAATGAGATTTCTTTTTAATTAGAAAAAATCATACCTTTTGGAACATGAACATGTAGCTCACAGGTTTTAAAGACATGAGGGAGGGAATAGTGGTTGGAAAAACCACAGCTGTAGTTGGTTGTTATCAGCTATGGTACAAATACGGGAGAGTGTGGAGGACTTGAAGCAGGTGCAGACGAGTACAACCATGCGCAAGTGTGTGACCCTGCTTTTTGGGACGGCTGGGTGGAGAAACGGAGTTTTTAAACTTAGCAGGTTGGTTACAGGCAGCCTTGTCCAATGTGAGCTCTCAAGATGAGTTACCCCTTTTCTTTGGTTGGCTTATTGCATTAACATTGTGAACATTTATTCATTTATATTAATTGTCTCTTCTTTTCTTGGCAGCCTGTGGACATTGAAACCTGGCTGAGACGAAGGACTGGAGACAAGGTCTGTCAAGGAGTGGAAAAGCCTTGAGGCTTAACCCACGCGGTGGTAAGGTTAATGGGTTACTATCCTGATGTTGTTAAATTTCAGTTTAAAAAAAAATGCTTGTCAGACTTATTGCTTGAACAGTAGTTATAAAATTCAGTAGTTTATGATACCGCTGGAAAATATCCCAGTATTTGTGATGGGAGGGCAGTCGGCAACAGCAGGAGTAGGAAAGGGGACATGTGCTGTAAAGCTCTTCGGGACTTGGGAGTACAACACTGAGGTCGTTGTTCTTGCCTGTGTTTGGATTTCTCCTCTGCCTGCTCTGTGGTGTACAAACACATCTTGATTGCTTGAGCAAGCAGCGAGTTTCACAAACATGGAAGGGTTGCTCTAAAATGTCAGATTTGTTTACTGCGGTTTTTTATTTGACTGACAGACTGAGAACTCCTTAAAGCTCGGAACAGTTAAAAGTGATTCAGGTTGTGATCATCATCTCTATTTTTCTTTCTTCAGGTATCAACAATCAAAGGTAATGAAAATGAGAAAGAGAATATGGAAGACCAGCAGAGTACTCTGAAGGTAAAGGTAAGTTCTGTTGATGTAGCATTTAAAGCGTATGTCGACTCTTCAGGCAGCCTGATAGAGGTGTCAGTAACCTTTGCACCAGGGCTGCATTTGGCTTTTATTGTACAGCTGAGGCAGATGAACTGTTCCATATTGCATACTGGGTTGTGTGGAAAAGTCAGTAACAGAAACCAGAAGACAATATTCTCCTGCTCTTCAGTGTAAGATCAAGAAATGCTGCATGCTGGCAAATCAGCTCAGGCGGGGGGGGTTATTTAATAACCCTATTGATGAAGACTGTCTAATAGGGCGGCATCATTATTCTTGTTAATATATGAAGTAAATTCTGTCTTTGATTTTTCTCATTTGTTCCTGAAAAAAATGTAGAAGTTTTAGTGGGCCTACCTGAAACTGAGGCAAAACATTATGTAAGGTATACTTAGGGTAATAACTAGCATTTACAGAGATGAGGAAATGAGAAAAATGTGTTTCTGTACACTCCATCAGAAACCATGTTGGGTTAATCAGTGTTGGGTCAGCAGATGAGAGACAATAGCCGAGCGTACAGCAAATAACATGGGCTTTTATAGTAATAAATATTAAATCTGCTTTTTAAGTAAATCTGCTTTGGAAACAAAACCCGGCCCCCAGTGGCCATTGTGCTTCGTTTCCCAGTCCAGTTCAGCTTTTGGACAAGTATCTATTGCTTTGTGTTATCTGTGAGTAAAATGTGTTGTTTCAACAATGAGCTGTTGCGTTGTCAGTGTACGGAAGCCGTGAAATACTCCAACAAGCCTTTGAGAAGCTACACAATAGACATCTGTCTTTGCTGATTAGCAAACTGGGCTTTTTTTAATTAGTTTATGTATGTTACCCATCTCTTCAAGTCTGGGGAACAACCCTGGTGTTCCAGATTTATTGTAATGCCAGCTGTATGTGCAAAACAGATCCTTGGCCTCATCCTGGCCGTTGCCATGACATCACACCACCACGCCCAGCAGCTCTGGCTGATACCGCAGAGCCTGCTGCTTCTGTCGTCTCAGGTTGTTTACTACTTGTGTTGTGCTACTACATGTGCTGAAGTCAGTCGGTCATAACAGAGTTACAGAACACTGGTTGGTGTGGCTGATGGCACGGTCAGTAACACACTGCACAGCCCTTGCAAGGGCTGAAATGTGCGCACAGTACGCGTGCCCAGCAATAACTCGTGTTTCTGCTGGTCACAGCTTCTGCTGAGCCGTCTAGGTCGTGCTTTCGCCTAGTCCAGCCCAGCTGAGATCATGGCAACATCTACAGTAAGTCAGCAAATTATTTTATGTCTCCTTCAGTCGGGATTTCTGCACGGTTATGCATAGGTAACAGTATGATGGCATTAAACAAAGGTGGTGTTCTTCCTCTTGTATTTCTTTTTATGGCTTAGGTCACCAGAGGTGGAAAGTCATTAGATGACAGCATAACTAAAATTATTTATTGGGATAGAATACACCGAAACTATTCTGGGTCATTAGCATGTTAACTCTGGGTATAGGTACCTTATGTCCAACTGCTACAGCAATGAGGGGGTTATTTTAGAATCTAAGAATTACTAATTTCAGTGGGGCAAGGCACACTTCATTCAGATAAGGATATTTGATTTTTAACTAATGAAAACCTCTTTCTGTAGAGTTAGGCTGAAGTGTTGTCAGTGGATGGTGCAAACTCTTCCTTTGCTTCTGAAACCACACGCCGGTCTGGGGCTGGAGGTACTCAAAGAGCCATGTAACGAGCAGGTCTTCCGCTTGGCTCCTTCTTGCCATTACGAGGAGCACGAGGTCACCTTTGACAACCCAGCATTAACTGCGTGGAGGGCTGGCAGCAGGAGCAGGAAAAGGGAGGTAACGCTGTTCCTTTACTTGTAAAGATTCCTTTACAGGAACAAGGTGTCAGTGTCACACCACCTCAGACACCCCCCTCCATCCTAGCAGGTAGACACGAGATGTTTCCAGTACAGACAGACATGATTCAGAAAGTTGCACTTAACTTTATTTCATAGTTACAGCTTACAGCATTCTTTCCCCATTAAACATTGCCTATGATATATATTATTTATGCATAGAAATACATGTCTGCAGAAATAAAGCAAAGCAAGAACCCCACAATACAGAGCAAGCAGCTTTTGATTGCATAGTTTAAAATTTCCCCTCTGATTCTGGGCACTGTGTTGCTTGGACAAGTACTTAATTATTAATACCAAAACATTTTGGAGAATTTCTGTGGTCCTGGGAGGAGCAAAAATTGTAAATGGAAGGTTGGTCTGGTAATGAAAGTTAGTCTATGAGCTATTTTCATACTAAGTTTTTCAATATAAAAATATACCAACTTCTTGAAATTTTCAAGCACAGCAAAATAAATACTTTTGGCTGGTTTGGGGGCTTATAAAGATTCAGCTGCAAATACATCAGCGCTGAGGTCAATAACATGCTTTAAAATAAGCATTTGCCCCATCAGTTCACTGACCTAGATAACTCTAGTACTTGCCAACCCAGTAGCCAAGTTTGAGTTGTTGTGTACCTGGAGTAAGTTAAGTAATTTTCCTCTGTACTTTAGCTTTCCATACACAGGCAGATGTAAGATAAGCATTTTTCGTGAGGTATTTTTAGAGTTTCCCATGAAGGTTGGTTCTAGGTTTTGCTTCATCTTCAACAGGCAACAGGAGATAAAACAACCATCAGTGAATCTGTCTGTACCAAAACCAGCCATTCAGTAGTGCGGGACTTAAATCTGTATCATTCTCACTTCTCAGCATAAGCAGACAGGACAGAAGAATGTGGCATTAATACAAAGAGGGGGAAAAGGTTTCAGACTTCTTCCCTTTGCTCTTAGATTGCTTCAGGACTGGCTGAAGAAAAGAAGTTAGTCATGTGAAGAAAAACTGAAGTCCACAAAGGCATGACACACTGCTCTCTTCTGAGCAAAAAGTAAGTGCATGAAAAAGTACAAATAATGTTTGTACACGCGCTAGTGGCAGGTTACGGACACAGGTAACAGAGTTCTTTATGATGAGGATGAAACAGTGCTTCCACTTCTATCATCTTCATGCTTCCATGTCCTTCATGTGTTCCCCAGCCTTTCTCAGTGTCAGACTGAACCTTCTGATGCAGAGTAGCAGAAAGTGAAGCAGTTTTAGGTGCTGTGAACTCCTCTGAGCAGCTCTGATGGCTTAGGGATTTATTTCATTCCTGAAAGAAACAAGCAGCTCGTTAGAAGAAAATACATGAACTTACTTCTGTATCTAAACCAAACCTGCCTGGTATATAAAGCATCCTCATTTAATTATGTATTTGTGTTCTCTAACAGCTGACTTTTAAGGTGTCTTAGGAGGCCAGTGAGCATTTCCTCCTCAACCAACGCTCAGTATGTTGGTGCTCAGGGCGGCCAGTACTGGCGAGGTCAGAGTCGCATCATTAAGCTGTAAACGGTCCTGTTTTCTCTTTTAACTTTGAATCACTCCTTAAGAAGTCGCCACTCTTCTGCATTCCCTGGGTTAGTCACTGCCCTGTCTCAAGGTGAGTTTCAGGGACGTGGTGCTTAATATGTTTTAGTAATAGTTTGGCGTCATTAATGCTGATGATTCAGAGGAATACCAAAAGACTCTCTTCACCTGAGAGCACAACGCAGAAAAAGCTCCTACCTCACAAACTTCCCGGTACAGCGATGCCTGGAAGACTGCTGAGGGCAGAGGCTGGGTGTTAGAGCAATGCCACTGCTTTTGTTAAAGGTGATTATGTGTCAGAGAAAACAACAAAAGGTTCTTTTATTTATGCTCCACCCAACAATTACTGCCTTCTCACAAGAGCCAGTACAGTTCCTGGACTTCAGTCAGTCCCCGTGCTTTGTGCAGCCCAGTTAATTTAACAGGGTGGCTTTCCCTGGGATTTCAGTTTTGGTAATACTTCCTGGGAAGTTAAACACTTAGGAGTGTCAGAGACTGAGGCATCTATCTCCAGGAAAACTCACCTGTTTCCATACCTCTCCAGTCCTCTCAATGACAATAGTTTGTGATTTATTGACAGGTGATGTAACCTTGTAGTCATCAGACAGGAGACCCAGAATAGGATACTGATTCCTGTACCTGGATAAACAGAGATGGAAACATGTAAAGTGAAACCTGCACACCCAAATCTAGATCACTAACTCTCAGCTTGCCACATCGTCTTTCCAGTCATTAATCCCCCTGATTTTCACTAGTAACTAAAAAGCTAATTTAAATGTCACGTTAACATGCTGCCCACCCCTCCAGCTGCTATTACAATGCTTAGTACAGAATCCTCCCCAGATAAGAAAACCCATCTTGACTTTTTCCCCTTTAAGTTGAACAGGAAGTACTAAGACACTAGCAGGAATAACTTGGTTACTAGAGGGATATACAATGGAAAAGCAAAAGGATGTGTTTTTAAGGAAGGTGAATAACTACATTACTTCTTAGTGATGACAGTTGTTAGACCAGCGGACTGGCTGCCTGATAATTTCTCATGCTTCAATCTGAAGAGGTCCTGAGAAAACCAAAAGTAAACATTCAAATGAAATAATGTTTTCTGAAGTATTAGTTCACTAAAGTCACAACACAATATTTGCAGAAATTCCTCTCAAAGAGCAGTCTGAAAAAGTCTGTCCTTCCACAAGGACTGACAGAGGAATAGTCTTCAGTTAAAAAAAATCCTAACCCGGATTCCTGAACCAGGAGAGTACAGGTACTTCCTAGGAAGTTTCCACCTGCACAGTAAGTGGAGGCTTAAATATAAAAAATATTAGAAGAGAAGTCACATTACTTTACCTCTTGCTGTTGTTTAATTAAAGCATCTTTCTCGTCTAGCATCGACGTCAGTTCATGCAACTTGATCTGCAAGTCACTGTTACTTCCTTCTCTCCTCGATATATCTTGCTGGAATTGGCACAACTGAGCCTACAAAACACATGTTAAGGAACAGTCAGGTGTTTGGTGCTCCTGGCAGGTGACCTTTCATGATCTGTCTAGGACTCTGGATGTGGTTTTTCAGTAGATTATGGCCAGTAAGACTTTAATTAATATAATTTAAAATAAAATGCTGTGGACTTACATACATGGACATAAACAAAACCCAGTGATTTTCCAGTAAGAATGTTGAGCAGTACCTTCAGAAAGTGCTCATTGATACTGGCAGAATTCAGTCCAATTTAAGAGGTTTGTAACTCAATAAAGCCAAATACATCACTGAACAAGTTCAATTGGCATCCGGAGTGGTAAAATATTACTGCAGTGCTTTAAATAAGAGACAGCTGTTTACCAGCAGCTGTGCAAGGTAGAGGAATGCACACATGCCATGTGAATGCCCTTACCCTCAGACTGCGGATCTCACGGTCTTTGTCCTCTCTCAGGTTATTGATCATCTCTACGTAACGGCTGGAGAGTTCATCTGTGGTAGTCTGTAGTGTTGGACTAGAGCAGGTCTACAGAAAATGAAGTAATGTTTTGCTTTTAAAGAGAGTGTTCATCATTAATTTTCACAGATTGTGCTGGAATCTGTAAATAACAGTTATTGAAGAGGGACCAAGTACCCTGTTACCTGTAGTCTAAGGTTTTGGATCTCCTGCTCCAAGGCACGCTTGCCATACTCCAGCTCCTTCAGCTGACAATCCTTTTCTCCCTCGGTGAGCCGAAGAGAGAGGAGTTGTTCTTCCAGAGTGCGACACCTGGCAGTGCTCTCCCTGAGTCCCTGCTGCAAAGCACAGGAGTGGAGGGAATGTGTGTGTGCCGTAAGGAAGTGACAGGGTCACACACACAAATGTATAGCCGGCAGCAACTACTCGGAATATGTTTTTGGATTTACCTGCTGCTGACGATTATTCTCTCTCAGAGAAGCCAACATAGTTTCATATTCTTTTACTTGAGACTCTTTAAAAGCCAAATCCTTCTTAAGTAAGACATTGTCAGTCTCTAACTTCTGTAAGACAAAAGAGTTTACAGTCAGTAGCTGCAACGTTTCAGTGAACTTTGTCCACATTCAAAGTGCAACTTACTGAGTAATTAGTAAGTGATGTTCTAGAACTGAGAAAATACCCAATTTTGTTGAAACTATAGGTTTTTTAGCTACATAGTATCTGTGGCTTCATGTTGCGTGGTAAGCACTGGGATCCTGGACACTGCTCTTCCAGTCCGGCCCGGGAAGAAAGATTTATAGTTACTAAACAAAACCCCCAAAACTTCAGACCACTTCACTGCACCGACTCCTTGTTCTATGTTAAGATGACAGCTCAAACTCCCTCTCCCCTCCCCAAACTTTGCATTTCAGAAGAGAACACTGTCAGGTTCCCAGGGGGGCTGAGTACTTGGGCTGGTGTGGGCAATGTTTCCCCTTCCCTAACAGCCATTCTCTCCTGTCTGCAGCAGGAACTGTCGAGCTCCAGCTTCCACTGTACCCTGAAGAACCAACAGCTGCCAACAGCTTTCCTACAACGCAGGAAATACAGCTTATCAGGAGTGACTGGAACGGAGATCTCCTCGTTCCTGGAACAGCACGTGGTGTATACACCTTGTCCGCGTTAAAAGCAGAAACACAGTTCCGTACTTCCACACCAGTGTGGGTATGTATGCACTGTATACACCAACTCAGAGCTTTACATCTCACCTCACTCAGCAGGGTCTTTTCTTCTTTGGGAGTATTTGGTTTTTTAGGCTTCAACAAATTGAACACTTGAAAACCACTGCTAGAAAGAAATCCAACCTCATCCACTGTACAGGTTTTGCAAGTCCATTAATAAACCAGCCGTTTCCAGTAAAGCCCTGGGACTTCACCATTCAAACTTCATCCTAACAGACTTCCTACTGACAGGCAGAAACAAAGGGATGAGGCCATGGCTTACCCCCAGGTCGTCCTGCAAATGGCAGAGTTCTTCACGTAAATTCTTGAAAGTGGAAAGCACAAGTCTCAAGGATTTATCTGATGTCACTCGCATCTAGGAGGGGAAGCAATGAACATGTAAACTTCTGAGCAGTGTGCTTTGCTTACAGCGTGCTGGACAATGGGTAGAACAGAAAAGGCTACACAGCTGAAAAGAACTTAGTTTACTGTTCAATGGCATTCCTTGTACTGCCCGCACTTCTACAAAGGAACACATTTTCATGCACTTGGTTCTGCAAAGGGCTTAGTTTTTTTAATTATTGCCTTGTAATACAAGAGAAGTTTTTAAAATGGAAGGAACAAGAGAGTAAAGAACTGCATTTGTACACCAATAAAGGGAAAAATAAATGTGTTAATATTGCGCAATCATTTTTTGAGTGTTCAGAGCTTTGTGACTTACATTGATTTAAAGAAATTCATACCCTGCCTGAGGAATGAGTCATCCTTTTTTTTTTGAGATCTGGCAAAGCATGCTTTCAGCCCAAGGGCAAGACAGTTTAATTAAAATTTTAAAAAAATTAAATTAAAAAAAAAAGCCATACATCCAATTCCTCCCTTTGAAAAGAAAAAGATGCCAAAGTTTAAAGTAGTCAACTGGATGAAAAAGGCAGTAATGCACAACAGCCTAACACTTCTTTCTTTTCTTTTAATGCATGTTAACAGCAGTGTATTGATTCACATTAAAACACAAATTGTTGCATTTCATGATATATCTCTAATATTTGAAAGCAGAAAAATTGACTTTGGAAGAATAAATAAAAATAATTCCTCAAATCTTTGCCTCACCTTGAAGGGCTGAAAATTCTATGCAAAACATGTATTCTTCACTATCTGGACAAAAATTAAATCCTCCTGTTTCTCTTCCTCTCATACATCTCCTTAACTTTGTTATAATTCAAACTGCAGGAAGCTATCAAGATCTCCAGCAATATGGTGATTAGCCCTTGTCCTATTTTTTATCCCCACTGGTGCTGTTATGTGACTGAGGCTTCAAAAATAACATTTCTGGTGTAACTAACTCACCTGTTTGTTCAGTTTTTAATTAAAATAGACTTTCAGTTTTGACTTACGGTTTGGTTGGTTTTGTTGTGAAATATAAGATAAGAGTAGATTAAAAGAAGGAATTAAGTCAAAATGATTGAATATAGACTACAAAAACGTAAGTAAATCCCCACTCAGCAATTCCTTAGTGCTAAAGGTCACTAAATTCCAGAGGTGTCATGTGCTTCTACACTGAAATTTTTTTTTCTACACTCTTATGTTTTTAACCAAAACATTTGTAAAAGGTGAGACCTAAGTTACAAGCAGTATATGCAGCTGGTAATGGATATCGAAACCTAGGATTTGCCTCTGCCTTTTGAAGTAAGGCATTAATATACAACACAAACAAACAAAAGATGAAGGATCTGTGTTCTGCTCTAACTAGTCAAAAGCCAAGGTGATTTCCACTGAAACTGCAAGAAAGTGACAGTAAAGCTCAGTTTAAAATACACAAATAATCCAGGGAACCAGCTGCCACAACCTGTCACTTGGAGCCACCTGTATGCTTCCATATCCTTTACACTAGAAAAAAAAAAAGGAATGCGCAGAACACAGAATGAGGTGTGTTCTGTACGAAGCCCCTGGTATGTGTAAGCCAACTTCCACTGTTCCAAGTTACTGTAGGCTTCCACGCACCCCCTCCACCCCACCGACATACCTGCAGGAGATAGCGGATCTGCTGCTTTGTCACCTCCGACAGTCCTTTAGGAATTAAATCTTCAATATCTTCACTCTAAGCAAAGAAGGGAGGAGAGGGGAGACAGCTGATGAAGAATTTTGCCTGATAGATCATAATGCAGTTTCTTCATTAGTTACACAGCTCTTCTATAAAAAACATGTTTAGTACAAGGCAGATAAGAATGAAAATAGATCAAAGCCTATCCAGAAATTTTCCAAAGTCTTCTAAATTCATGGCGTATAAAAACTGAGATGAAGTGATACATGAAGCATATATTCAAATGGTTGAGTTTAACGTCTAGTTCACTGAAACTGACGATGGCCAGCGTGTCACAGGAGATGCCACCAGTGATTAGTGGCACTGCTTCATGAAATTTAATCCTCGACAGCTATTTCTGCCGTATACGCAATGCTTTAAAAAGAGCAGAGGTGCTGATGAGTCTGTCATGGCCTGATTAACAAAAGCTTTCTATAGCACTAGGAAGTCTGTTCTGGCAGCTTACGTTCCTCTCATTTCTGCAAGAGGCAGCGATCTTCGTTTCTTGCAGCGCATGGCAGCACGTGTGGCTTTATTGGCAAGAGAGTGAACGAGCCTTTGCAAAAAAAAGGCACAGTGAAAATCCATGGGGTTACAATAAAACCACTATTGCCACAACAGGACAGACTTTCAAAATTTGACTCTCACACAGGAATAATGCAAATTATTATAGTTTCCTTTCAGTATTATCTCATTTGCAAATACACGCCTAGCAGTAGGTTTCAGGCTCTGAATGTTATTAACAAGCCGGAATCATTAACTCACAAAGAAAGACCAGCATCCTTCATTTAAACTGGCTTGGCTTCGTTAGCTGGAGGAGCTACACCTTTGTTATTAACACTGCACGTTACAGAACAGCTTGCTAAGAGCACGCCTGATGCTTACCTGACGTGTAAATTCAATGTCCTGGTTCCTGTAAAACAGACAAAAGCCAAGGGAGCGATTAACCAAGCACTTGTTGAGAACGTTAGGAATTCATGCCCACATTCACAACTATACAAAGATGATCTTTAACACACAGAGCAAGGAAGGCTCTCTATCGGATGAAGAGCTGTTACCTTCCTTTTAAGGTGCTAGTCAACACGAGCTGTGAAATAATGACTCCACGGAGAAATATCTGAGGAGACTGGAATACTAACAGCAGCCCAGTTAACACAGGCTAACTGTCTCCCGTTCTTTGTGCGGTTATACCAATTATGTTTGGTTAAGCCAATTACATTCTTAATTGGTCAAGTAATGGCTTACCCAGAACTATGCTGCAATACATTGACATGCCTTAAGTGTTTACTTAGCAGCGTCAGGTTTTTTGTGATGCTCAAATTCCACTTTTCCCCCGCTATGGGACCACTTTTCTTATTTCATTGAAATAACTGAAAGCACCGAACAAGACTGGGAGTGAGGGGGGAAGAATGAAGCAATGGTGATTGTGCGGGAAGGGTAAGAACATTGCAAAGTCTCAGATGACTGGCTGCTGTGATTCTGCATTTCTTTTCAGAGACAATCTGTAGGGCTCTGCCGAATACATGCTTGACATTAACTGCATGTAGAGACTGAGCTTTGTGCCTTACAGGGCACTGGGGAGGCGCTTGTTATCGGGGACCATAGTGACAGGACAACAGGTAATGGTTTTAAGCTGAAATAAGATAGACTGAGATATTCAGAAGAACTGTTTTCCTGTGCGGGTGGTGAGGCAGTGGCCCAGGTTGCCCAGAGAAGCTGTGGATGCCTCATCCCTGGAGGGGTTCAAGGCCAGGCTGGATGAGGCTTTGAGCAACCTGGGCTGGTGGGAGGTGTCCCTGCCCAGGGCAGGGGGTGGCACTGGATGGGCTTTAAGGACCTTCCCACCCAAACCATTCTGATTCTCTGATTGCCATCTTTTAATGCATGACATAACACCATGATGGAACAAAAGAAATGGCAATTTGGACATTTGGGTTGTGTCTTCAGGACATAACAGAACTGTATCATTAAATACATGTCAGAGCATGCTGTAAGTATACTTGTTTGGTCTGTGTGCAAAAAGGCATGGGATACGTAATTCTTATTGCATACTAGTCTAAACGATTTGAAAAAGCTTTAAATTCAATAAATTCACTTGGCTTACAGCATTTTTATGTTATTCAACAAATTAGATTAATATGCAAAATACACTCAATTAGGGTTGTCAGGGGGAAAAAAAACAAACAAACAACTTGCAAACAATGCTGTCCTGTGAACTGTGCAATGCCAGGCTTTCTGGAACACTGAAATGATAGAACAGAAATAATGCCCATACCTTCCTCCTATCTTTTCCACATGCTGCAGTAAACAACTGTACAAGTCATTGGTCTTGCGGTTCAGTTCAGCGATGAGCTCACCAAAGTAGCGGCAGTCCAGCTGGTCGTTATTCTCTTGAGAGCAATTCACCTAGCAGAATAGATGAGAGATCATAATTGCGTTCCCTTCTTCGGGATGTAAGCTGAACAGAAAAATACTACAAGTATGATGGATTTGGTTTTGTTTGCTCTTACAAATTTGCAATTTCTTCACGCTGTTCTTTTCCTTGGTATTGAGTCTTCCATACATTCTGGGTTTTGGCAAACTATACAGAAATTTATGACTACATATGTATAGCAAGCCTCCCGCAGCCCTTAGAAACTCCAGAACTTGCAACCTGCTGTAAAATGAAGGGCAAAGCAAGCTAATTTTGTTCTTCCAGTGAATCTGTCAAATACTTCTACATCAAATGGAAATATATCTGAAATCCTTATTGATCAGTGTAGACAGAAAGCAGTCCTGAATTGGTGTATGTCCAGTTCATAAAGCAACACAGCTTTTCTCCAAAACCTTACACTACTCAATCTTTGTTGCACAGACTGACAGATGAAACCTGACTCAAACAACGGGTAACACTGCCAGATAAAGGAAATAAACCCAAACAAACCAGCAAGACTTAAAGGACAACAGAATGATGATCAGTCAGTAGAATTAAGCACAGGTCTACGCCAACCAGAAATGGGATACAACACCTAAAACAGCTTTTTTTTTTTTTTTTTTCCCCCTACCCCCAGAACAGCACGTGAGAAAGTCCTGGACTGTTCTAGACAACGTCTGCAATCCCAGTAGTTAAACATGATTCTTACCGGTTCACACCTTTGAACGGTTACCCTCCTCACTGTATTTCCTCTGCAGTCATCGCTCACAGAGACTGGAATTATTTCACAAGGGCTACTGGTCTGTGTCTGCTGGCACTGGTGAGTGACTTGAGGCTGCTCAGGCTGCTGGCAGGGCTGGACAACATGGCACTGATCGGCTTGCTGGGGAATCTGACACTGGGAAAACTGATACTGCTTCTCCTAAGAACAAGAATGGGTATTTTTTTAAGCTGCTGAGCGTATCTTCATGAGATAGAAGCTTAATAGGAATATATAAATGAATGAAATGTGGTTTGCATGGCAAGACTGATGACAGCTACAGATATTTTAATAATCCTAATAAAATTGCTTTTTTTCCTAATTAACATGAGTTTGCCTCACGCTTCACAGTTGTCATTCACCAACTCCTCCAATTTTAGTAGCTGCAAATGAAAAGCGCAGAAGAGGCACCTTTCCTGAGCTGTATGTTTCATTATGTTGCTACTCTTAACACACTTGGGCAAACAAGGACCTCCATTATCTAATTTACAACACATATGTATCCTGTTTCATTAATTATTCAGAAATTAAAAAAGACCTCCAGTTGAACTACTTACTCAGTTTTCATTATTTCTGAACAAAAAATCAGTACAGGAAATGGCTCAAGACATTGCTTGTTACAAACGCTTGCAGCAATTCCAGATTCAGAGTGTACAATACAGAAGGGACACGTGTCTTGTTTTCATCATCTGAGAAAAGTGCTGTTTACAAAACCACCCACTGACACAATAAACGAGAAACTACTTTATGTCCCAGTCAGAATACAGGAAGTTACTGATTTCAGCAAACTTCACTGTAAAAGCCATGGTCTAGACAAACAAGTTTACTTCAAAAAAATGCATCTTTTGTATTCTATGGGGAAGTGTACAAATGCAAATCCTTTGGGTAACGTGCTAGAGATACAACAGCAGTTTTCATTGTCCGTCTGAAATTATACATTCTTAGTAGAAATACAGCAAATGTTCCAACTTCTGCTCTGCTTACACACAGGAATTGTTTGCTTTACTTTGAGAACGTGTCCTATACCTCAACAAGGCAATTCTCAGCTTGGCAGTAGTTCCCAGCAAAAAACCCCACCAGCCAAGAACATTACCCTTCTGCTACCATCTGAATTTTCTTTTGCAACAGATAATATAAGCAACCAACTTACTTGGTGGGGATTTAATAGCTCGTATTTTCTTATGGTCTTTTCATAGATGACATTATTCCCAGGACAGAAATTCGCCCCTCTGAGAAATGGGGACAACGGCTCCTGTAAAACATTTTAATAAAAACACTCACAAATGGTGTCAAACAGCAAATTCAGAATTAGTGTTATTTTGACTAACAAATGATAAGAGATTTTTGCAATCATTTATGCACACATATACTTTGAGATAGTTCTTTAAGATCTGTACATTTGGGTGTATGTCCACTTGGAAACAAAGTGACTGTGCTTCCATCTAGACAGTATTTGAAACAAACATAGTAGAAGCGGTTAGCAGTTGATCTCCACTAGTGATACTACTGAAGCATATTAACAGAGACTTAACTGCTGAGAGGTGGGAAGCCTGCCTGGTCATTCTGTAGTATTTGCAATCCTTCATAATTTCATCCCTCACCATCAGAGGTATGGGCCATGGGACTTCAAAATATTTAACATCCCCTGATGGAGGCAGCTGAGCACTTCACCGCATCAGGATAGTTAAGGGAGGAAGAGTTACACAAGCAGAACTCCAGCACTAAACAGTTTTCCTACCTGATCAGGATTCTCGATAATAATCCTTCGAATAGTGCCCTGCAGGGAAGAAAGGAAGTTTCACCAATTACTGCACTTCAAAATCTTTTATGCTCAGAGCTCAGGCTTACATGGATTCCCAAATTAATCTGAATATGGTCAACAGCTATGAACACACTGACATGCACCGGCTGGAATCACCAAGATGTTTTACAGGCAGGGCTTTTCCAGCCCAAAGGAAATAACCCACACACAGCGTGGCAGCAGGCAACCTGTCACTCTCAGTTTTAAGAGAGTTTGGTTTTTCTCAATCACCTCTTTGCAGGTCTGAGGGAATTTGTCCTTATTTTCTGTAAGTGCCTAAAGAACAGGACAGAAATCAAAGCTGACATACTGGACTAGGGCTTCAAGGATCCCTGGTCCACAAACGCTGCCTTTTACTTACGGTCTCTCATGTTACACATTAAGGTGAGCTGGTGTAAATGGATGGACACCTAAAAAACTTTTTGTTTCACCAAGGGAAGAAAATTTGTTTTGCTTAAACACTGGAATGAAAGGGGCAGCGGAACTGCAGCAAACCACATCAGATCGCTGCCCAAAACTCCGTAACTGACACCTACAAGAAAAGATGCCTACATGGAACATTTGTGTGTTCTTGAATGAAAAACAAAATACGCCTTTTTAAATTACAGAAGTTCGTAAGTAGCAGCAGTTTTGTTAATTTTCAGATTCTCACTTTCTTTCCCAGCACTGTCTACAAGCAATCGCAGACACTGCCTTCCATTTTGGGGACCACCACCAGTTATAACAAACTGTACACATTGCTTGAAGCCTCCGCATCCAGTTCTTTATCCAAGTAAGAAAAATTCCCAGTCAATGTCATCTACGGATTGGGCAATTTGTTAGTTTACAGCATACTATTTATTCTTCCTCACAGTACAAACTTCCAATTTTCATAACAAATCGTTTCTTCCCTTAACCCTTGGGCAGTGCTTGGGAAGTTTATACTGGTGCAGCTCAGTCTCGGAGACATTCTTAACTGGGCAGGAGCAGCTCTGAAGTAGGTCGGATTTCCAGTTGCGAACTGTTGCGTAAGTTTAGGAAGCCTGAAGCAGTTTTCCAAATCTCCCAAGAGTGAATCATAACAGCACCAGGAAAGAGAAATCAAAGTAGAAAACAAACTGTTTTAGCAGCAATCATACTAATTAAGAAATGTCAAAATTATAACTGCTGCAGAGAACTTAGAAAGCTGCTTAGTCCTCCTCCCACACACCGCGTACTTGAGGTAGGTCTGTCAAGGAAGGGAACCCACCAACGCCAGCAGAACTCTGTATCGGGACAGAACACTGAGGAGACAACACAGAGGTCTAGAACATACAGTCCTGCGCCTACATCCGCAACACCTACAGAATTTGAACAAAAATACTGAAAAAGTGAATGCCCACTGGTACATCCTTCAGAGCAGTTTGACAGCAGGCATACCCCCAGCTCCCAGCTCACCCTCCAACCCAGCTCCCAGCTCTGCGCTGAGCCTCACCCCATGGGCTCCAACCCAGCTCCCAGCTCTGCGCTGAGCCTCGCCCCACGGGCTCTGGCCATCCTGGAGCACGCCGGTGCTACGGCAGTACCAGCAGCCATGGGAGAGCAGGGACTGTTCTTACTCGGAGCTGCCCACCATTGTACGGCACATGAAAACAAGATGAGCATTGTGTGTGAAACTAAAAGACACATTTTCAATTTACTGAAAGGCTGGACAAACCTGCCGGAACTAAATCACGCTGCCACAGGGCTGCGTGCATACGTAACTCATGCTGTCTAGTCTAGAGACGATAATGTGTAAAATTATTTTATCTAGTTCCCTGTGTGTTCTCAGAGGAATACATTCAGAACTGAGAAGACCAGAGCAGTTTAAGTTGAAGGATACTTTTATAATATTCAAAAGCATGGCCTAATCATATGCAGAACAACACACACAACCAAAGAATGTTTTGTTTGAGATAAAATTATGCTTATTTTTAAGATCCCCAAACCCTTTCATTTCCAACTAACATTGATGCAGATACATTTCCCTCGCTCCTTTACAGACACGGATCTGCCTGCCCTTCCTCCCATGCCAGCCAAGCAGGGTGGACTTGCAGGCTGGGAGGGAAGCGAGAAGCCAGAACCCCCGTGGCTCTGCCAGCCTGAGCTACCCACGCACGGATGGTTCCTTGCTCTGCAGGAGGAGATGCCATCTCCCAGGCCGCTGGAGCTGTCCCTCCACAGCGTGAGCGTGCTGCAGGACGTACGCCGCGATGGAAGATGACCTCCAGCTATCTCCATTTCTCTGTCATTCCCAAGGGGCACGCTACTCTGTCACCTACAATGCTTCAGAGATGGAACATTTTGTGACTGGGAGAAGGAAGGGGAGGGTGGGACTTTAATGGGGACAGCCCAGTGCTGCTGTGGCTTTCAGTGGCACGACTGGGTTTGGGATTTATAAGGACCTCAGCAGTCATTCTGGATCTATGTTTTTATAACAATAATTTCCAAAGGTACATGCTAACACTTCCATAATGATTTCTGCTAGTCTTCAAGATTTTTAAATTTTAAAACAAGCATCTGATAGGTTTGCCCAGTTATCGTGTGCAAATTCTATGCAAAAAGCAATCTGTACCCTAACCTTTATTTCATGTAAGTTTCCCTGAGCTTCAGACAAACCAGCAATTCAGGTGAGAATTTCATCTATGTCAAAACCTTTTATCCATAACATATAGTCTTGTTAATTACAAGCAATTCAGTCATTTAATTGGAATTTATGAGCTATATTTGGCAGCTGAAATACGGAAATGGCAGGCTGTGTTTGAGGGCTGTATCAAACAACACAGACAAACCTTACAAGCTGGTTAATATTACACCAACTTCACAACGGGAGGCGAGAGCCCTTACCACTGCACAGAACACAGCCCCGCCATGAGAAGATCTTACTCACAAAGTTTCTCACATGGACAGACAACTCCTACAATGGAACACAGCCCCGCCATGAGAAGATCTTACAAAGTTTCTCATATGGACAAACAACTCCTACAACAGCTTTCAGGGTTTTGCCCTCTGCGCTAGCAGCAGACACCTTGTGTGTGCCATTTCATAGATCATTTTTTCATGACCACGGTGAAAGGGTTCATATGCGTAAACCATACTCAAGACAATTTATTCTAAACAACATTCTTCATTTAGATCAAGCAGATCAAAGCAAAATGTGCCGTGAATTACTCCAGATGAAGCTTGCCGTGGCTGGGAGTAGCATTTGGCTTCTACACCAAGGGTAAAACAAAGTTAGACCAAAAAAGTAAAGAAAACTGACTCCTGAAACACAAAAAATACAATCATGCTTTATGCACACACTAGTTTCAAATCTTCCCTCCCTCTAGCTTATTAAAAACATAAACACAACAGAATACACAAACCAGGCGACTAACTAATACGACAGCCTTATCAACAGTGATACAGGCGTTTGTTATCGTTCATCTACCAAAGCACTGCAGAAGTAAAGTAAACATTGCTCAGAGATAGCCCTTTGCCTACAGTCAGGAGCTCAAACTACAGCTCTAGGCTGCCACTAACTGAAAATACTGGTGGTGTTACAACATCCACACAAGCTACAATTTACACAGCTAAGCGTGATCTGCTCAAAGGGCAACTGAATCAACGCTTTGGGAACTCCCTACACTCTTCCCAGCGCCTCTTTCTGCCACCTCCCATTCAGCACCGAGTACGCAACTTCTGTCTGCTCCCAGCTGACTGCCCTGTTTGTTACTGCTCTGTAGTAACTTCCTAATAATCTGTATAAGCACCTTCCCTCTCCCCCACTGGAACCGCAACCCACGCAAAGCCCGATTTGAACTACACCCTCTTTTGTCTTTAAAGTCCAATCCAGCAAAACACTTCAGCAAATTATTTCTCATCAACACGACTTAATGGATTCAGTGACTAAAACAGATGTTGAAAATTACATATACTTCGTTGAGCAGAGACAGCATTTGAGTCTATAATCTAATTGTTCACGTACTTATCTGAGTAGAAGCAGCCTGGGACTGCAGTACTTATTCTAATGAATATTTAATTAATTGAACGCAATTCAGACGATCATCTAGCCTAGTTGAGCAGATCACTTATCTGGGAGGTGAGAGACCGGTGTTTACACTCCTGCCTCACATCTTGCAAAGAGGGATTAGCAGCTTTGATACAGCGGGACCTGTCTGTCACATCCCAGCCACAGAGAGCCACCAGTTCACTTTCCAGAATTTACAGAAGCCGTCCTGCAGAGGAAGGCAGCCCTTAAACTATGCAAATATGGCTTTGAAAGGAGATCAGACTTCCTATTGGTCTTAATCCCTATTCTTTTTTCATAGTTAAATATTTTTATACCACAGGAAAGAAAATCAAACAAGTTCAACTTGAAACAAATCTATATTGCCATATTGAGATTAATGACACTTAATGCCACTTCGGATAGTAATGACTGTCTGATGTGTAAGAGCAAAAATGGGTTAAGAATAAATTCTGATCTCATTTTCTGTTTTTATAGTCAAAGATGTTCTTAAGTCACTGGTTTCTAGTTTTAAGATTTAGCTAAGGTATGAATCGCATACGTTAAAATTACATTAAATTCC